CACAGGTCACCCAAGTGCAGGGAGCCTAGGTTTCTTTGCCGTAGAGTGAAGACAGGAGCACTAAAGGCACAGTCCTGGTGTGTAGCTCAAGTAAGATCATGTGACACTGGAAAGGCCACATATAGACTGTAAACGTTTCTGTAGAGATATACCATTATTACTCCAGTTCTGTGAGTCCACTTGGCTGCTGTAGTTGAGCACATAATTCATAGTTAAAGGGCATATGGAGTAATCTGCAAATGGTGGAAGTTTCTGTTATTTATAGGGCCCTGTAGCCAGGTTGTTTGGATTAACTCCATGTTCATTCTGCACAATTTCCCCAAGCTGATCCAGCATCATTCTTATATTAATAACTGAGAGCTCGTCTGCAATTGCACTTATGTGCAATGAAGGAGAGGCCATTTGAAAAGGAACCCACAGGTGATTATTAGGCCTAAAACCATTGTCTAGAATGGAAGGATAAAGCCACATTCCCAGATACAGGGGACCTAATGTTTTTGGAGTATCTCATATGTTTGAGACTCTGTGCTAGGCAATCAGCATGCTTTCTCCTTTACAGAGGGGATTTCTAGCCTCATTTTACAGATAAGGAAACTGGTACCCAAAGACGTTAAGTACCCTGCACAGAATCCTAGGGCTCCTAAGTTGTTGATGGTAAGAAAGAAAATAGCAGCCTCTGACAGTCAGGTGCAGGCCCACCCCCCACAGCGAGATCCTGGCATTCTCCTGTTGAACATCAACATTTTGCATAACATCAGCATCAGACAAGCCCACTCCGTGACCATGATAGGTCAAGACAAAATCAAGACCTCCAGGTCGTCATGGCTGAACACAGGCAAAACGTGAATATTGTCAAAATTGGAAAACTGATCAAACATTTTTCTATCCGGGTTTCAGCCTTGCTTGGTTCTTCCTGCCTTCCAGATAAGAATTGTTAGGATAATCACAGAATTGCCCCCACATGATGAGAGTAACCAATTCAGAGAAAAACCCCACTTTGTTGACCATCCCCAAAGTCGCTCACCTTAAGCCCAAATCTTATGATACATTCTTTCTAACATGCTCTTCCAGAGATGTTCCTTCCTCTGTGGTGAGGAATAAGCCAACATGTTCAATTACAGATGTGTCCCTGGTATTCTTTGCAGCAGAGCATTGGCAGGAGGACACTAAGTTAGGCCTGCATCACTTCGGACTCTGGTGCTTCTGGTCTTTCACTGCGCTTTCAAGAAAATAGGGTGTTTCACTTACATAAAGGTTAGAGGGTAGATTTTGCCTTAGATTTTACTATATGGCTTCCATCTACTTTGTTATCTAAAAACAATGATACTAATATGTCAGAATCATGTTAAAGTTTGCAAGTATTTGCCAACTTCCCTTAAGAATAGAACTGTTCATTTACTCATTCGTTTGTATCTTCATTCTTTTTCCCATTAGTGGGTGCACCTCCCATCTTCATTCATAATTTGGGATACTGACATGCAAGGCCAGTGGAGCTCAGTGTAGAACATGCTAGGAGATGCCTTAGTAGGAGTGAAGACAGAGATTTGCACAGGCTCTGAAGTGTCCAGGAGCACAGTGGGTCATGTCACCTGCAGAGTCCAGGAAGCCTTGATACTTTAGCCAGGTCTTAAAGTATGAACTTTAGGAACAAAGGCTCTAAAGCCAGAAGGAAGTGCCTGAACAAAGTCTCAGAGATGGGAAAATTCCAGCATGTGAAGGTGAACTCGAAGTAGGGTTTGGAAGGTAGGGTATAAGAGAGAGTGGCAGTAGGTGAGAGTTACGTGCAGTCTTGAGGAATTTGCCATTTCCTTTGAGTGACAAGGAGCCGGGAGGACTGTTTGAGGCAGGAGTCTGGCATAGCCAAATCCATTTCAGAAACATCATCCTGGCAGAGGCATAAAAAAAATTTTTTTAACATGATTTACATGACCTAAAGGTAGAGTTTTGATTCATGGTCTAGAAGGGGTGTTTATTAGCTCTAATGGACTTACAAGACGAATGGGCTTTGTATGCCCGGCGAAGGCACTTTGACTTACCCTCTGGGTGATGGGGAGCCTCTGAAGGATTTGAAACAGGGCTGAGATATGGACAGATCTGTCAAAAGGAAACAAACAATCAAACAAAAAAAATCAACAGTGTGTGTGTTCATGTGTGATTCCATGTAGGCTTTTTAGAATTTTGAAAACAGTTTAAAGACCCCATTATGACCTTGCCAGAGGCCAGGTTGGAAATTTCTGAATCAAATGATTCCTTAGCTCCCCTCTAACTCTGACAGTCTAAGATTCTGTAACAGGGAAGGTAGAGCTATTGCCAAAACGTATCATGCATCACAGTGTCAGACTTTGGGATTGTCTGCTTCTTGGGGTTTTCCACACCACTGCTCCCCTTCATTAGTGGGGATAATTGAGAGTTGACTGTGGTTGTTACTGCTGTTGTGATGGGTATTTGAAGCTAAATTCCAGCAAGCAGGAGATGTGTGAATATTTATCTCAGCTGCAGAAAGTTAATGCAGTGTGGCATTAATTACCCTGTCTGAGCCTGCTGTCTTCTTCTGTTTTTAGGTGCCATTTTCAGTTGGATAAATTAGTTTCCAAAATTAGAATAGAGCAAATTGTAGGGTGAGATCAAGGCAGCCTGACTTCTTGGGACATCCAGAAAGAAGAACGAGCTGAGAACATCTACCCAGGAAACATTAAGATGTGTCCTTGAAGCCCAGCACAGGCAAAAGAAAATGTTTTTCCCCAGTAGTTGTACTTAACTATTTTTGTCTCCACCCACTGCACTCCTAGAACACAAACACAGAATAAAGTGACATGTTTAGCCTTACAACAGGTATTTGAAATAGTTGAAGAGACTGGAAAGGAACAGATTTGGTGTGTAATCTATAGATTTTGCTACAATTGATTTTGAGAGAATATAGTCAAATTGGAGTGTATTTAGAACAAAGGGATCAGAACTGTGAGGAAACTAGAAATAGCATTATAGTCATCCAGTAATTCCACAGACTCACTGAGGACCTACTGTGCTAGGTTCGTATATGCAAAATGGCAGAAGGAACTGGCAAGTGGTAATCTGGAGTAGGACATGGAAGAACGAACTTCCATACTTTTCTGTCATCAGACTTTTGGAAGAAGGATTATACTTATTTACATTTCCAAGGGCAGTATAACGTCTGGGTGGAAGACATGGAGGGACAAATTGGCACCCTGTTACACTGCAGAATAGGGTGCCTCCAAGGAAAGAGGTTCCTTCCCCCTGGAAGAACACAAACATAACAAGTTCTAGAGGAACCAGAAACTGGATCTGATGGCAGGAGTCCTGGGTTCTGTTCTTGGCATGGTTAGTAAGTACCCTGTGACTCTGAAAAAACAAAAGCTGTCTTCACAGGACTCCAGATTCCTCATATGTACAATGATGGGCCACGACAACCTTATCTTCTAGGCCATTCCACTTTACAGTAGAAAGAAGCAGTATGATACGCTACACTCAAGAGACAGCACAATGACCTTGAGATCACACAACCTCTCTGAACTTCAGTTTTTATCTTCAAAGGGAGGACTGAAAAATAAAAGCTACCCCCAGGACTATTAGGCAGATAAATAAGACATGAGGTGCTTTGTAAACTCTGAAGCACCTACAGATGGAAGGATTGGTGTCTCTCTCTCTCTCTCTCTCTCTCTCTCTCTCTCTCTCTCTCTCTCTCTCTCTCTCTCTCTCTCTCATGGTTGCTGTTGTAAAAGACTAGAAAAGGCACTGGGCCCTGGACCCTGTTTTCAGTTCTCATGTCTCTAGACATACAGCTGTGTGACCATGGGCAAATTATTTAACATCTCTGTACTTAATTTTACTCTTGCAAAAGAAATAAAGCATCCACCTTACAAGGCTGCTATGATGAGATAAAAAGACAATGTACTTGAAAATACCTAACATGGCACCAGACACATGGTAGGGGCTCATAGAATGGCAATTCATTTTGAAGTTTCAAGAAAATACACAAATAATAAGAACCTATATGACATGGCAAGAGATAAGCTAATATATAAAATATGGCAAAATTAGGATTTTAGTGTGCCCATTTAATTCTGGCACAAACCTCCAAGAGTGACTCCAAAATTGACAAGGTCAGTTTTAACAGAAGGTCCAGTGCATGCTTAAAACAACAGTATCCATCAAATCTGCCTGGCCAGTGCACAATGAGCCATCTCAACATCAGCTGAAGTCTAACGTGGTTTAAGTAGGGCTGAACACTCTTTCCTATATAGGTGTGTATTGCAGGTTTGCTGCATTACATGCTGGTTAAAAATCCCTGTATGTGCTTCAGGACAGCCCCCCAGGAGCAGGCAAATGACAGGCCAAAGCTGAGGGCTCAGATTGAATGGAAACAAGTCCAGAATCTTGTAATTAAGAGCCAAAGACACAGTTCCTGTTTCTCTTGCTCAACAGTGCACCCAGGCATCACTGCTTGTAGAAGAGCAATTTGAAATAGAATTTCAGGGTTCTCAAGTAGACATTATGAAAATGTGTTGGAAAAATGTTCAATTGACTCATGGTAATTTGTTAGCATTTTCTGAAGCTCTATCACTACCAGGCATTGTGCTAGATACTTTACATGTGTAATGTACAATTCCCTCAAGAACCCCATAGGTTAAACAGTATTATTCCTATTTTGCAGTTGGAGAAACCAAGACTCAGAAAGGATAAGTATCTTGTCCACAAGACATGGCTTTTCTAACTCTTCCTACCATACCATGCTACTTCCCTAACAGGGCAATCAGTCCCAACTTGAAAACGAAAGACAGAATAGAGTGCATAGTTATTTTGCATGATAAAAATGTTGCCAAAATAATATGCACCCTGATCATATACTCCAAAAATAACCTAAGGTCATCCATCATAAACTGTCACTTTTCTGTTTAATCTTAAACACCCTTTCCCAAAGATGTCTCAGAAAATCCATGCAAGTGGAAAGGGCAGGCCTCACTTTGTTTCTTTATCCACAGGAGCCAGAGCCTCTCTACGCGCAGATCAACAGACCTAAGAAATAACACTGATGCGAGCTCGTGGCGGGTGCTCAAGACTGGCATGGACATCAGCATCACTACAGGCTCTCTCGTATTCTTTCACCTCATCCCACAAGAAATTCATGACTGCCCAGTGGAACTCGCTCAGAAGAGGGAGCTAAGCATTTTTGGCAACCAATGGCAGATATCTATGGCAGCACACACAAAAAAAAGTATGAAAAGATCCACCCAACATTAAATCACAAATCAAGCAAATGCTTACCCAACAAATATTTGAGCTCTCGCAGCTGGGTTTAAGATGACCCAGTGTGCAAAATCATTAATTCTCTTTTTATTTCTCTACCTGTTGACCACTGTAGAGATACCAAATTTGGAGTGACAGGCATCAGAGGATTACAACAGGGTTGGAACTGACTGCTTTAAGCAAAAGCGAGGGTCTTCTGTGATCACAATATCATCATCCATATGTCTTTTCACATAGGATGATGTGTTTTTGTCACTCCTTGGGGCCTGGTCTGCCATTTTCTCCCCTTTCCTTTCTTTGTCATGTTTGAAAATTAATGTGTACAAATTTTTGTATTGCTTTTGACTTTTTTTTAGAAATGGGTGAAGAAATCTTACTGGGGAGAAAAAGACACCTCAATGAAATGAATTAACTTGAAATTACAAGACAAATAAGTGGTTGATTATTCATTATGATCAAGAATGTTGCCAAAACAACCCTTTAGCTATTCTGCATCCTGGTGAAGAAAGACAGCTTTCAGTTTGAACCTTCATTCTGTGAGTAGGAAAAGACATCAGATCCCATTGATGAGAAAGATGAAAAACGCATCTGATTTCCTAAGAAGCTCTAAACTCTAAGTACAATAAAATATTTTTTATTTTTCCGATATCTTGCTGCTGTGATGCTATGCAGACAAGTGTCTTCTCCACGTGCCATTTTCAAAGAAAAGTCATTTGCCAAATAATTCTGGTACAATTCTGGTAATGTGGTTTTGGATCTTAAAAACCAACTTTCTAATGGAACAATGGTGGCATAAATATTCAGAATAACAAACTGATTCTGTGGTCCAAATGGTTCATCTCTATCTCTTTTTGTACATCAGAAAATTCAAATGGGATTTTTATTTTATAACTTGAAAAAAAAAAAAACCTTACCATTAAACTCTTTAAATATTTAAGGGAAATGGCTTTAAGGAGTTCTAATGAAAAAAAAATTGTCATTTTTTTTTGTAAATATAAATGTTAATGAAAATGCTTTTTAATAATGCCATTACACTGTAGAGAAGGTAGCAGATTGAGTGCAAGGTGTGACAAACTTGATGGATGGGGCTCACTTACCAGATGTTATCCTGGAGCATATGGTAGGAAGCTGGAGTGCAGGGACAGCTGGCAGGAGCAGTTGGCCAATCAGCAGCTAGTGAACGGGAAGGGAGCGCGTGACTCTGTCATCTAGTGTTTCCACAAGAGTCCCCGCCCTATGAGCAACACAAGAAAAAGACAATTCACATTCTGAAGAATTCAGATTCTGAAACACTCCCACCTCCCCACTCCCACTTACCCCCGTATAAATCACTGGACTGTTTGTACGTGAAACAGAAGAGGCTAAGCTTCCTTTTTTTACACTTATGAGACAAAAAGTGCAGTGTTTGGTTCGTATGTTTAGCACATGATTTTCATAAAGAATCTATATATTTTTGCCCTACAGAGAATTGTTATACAGGTCAAATGTGTTTTCCTGATGTTCCTATGCAGTTACAGTATGTTGAATCTAGTGTTTTAACACTAAGAAGAAAACTCCTAAGATTCATGTGATTAATTGGATTTGGGGATAATTATTATTACTTGGTTTTGAGATTTGAAAAGTAGAATTTCCATTGATATGATTAATTTGAATAGGCCTGTATTTGGTTCTTCGTATCAATAGAAACTAAAATGATCTGGAAGATTGATTTGAAAATGATTGTATAATTGTTCACAAAGAGAAAAGTGATACATCAAGGTAATGGTTCTCATTTAAAGCCCACATTTTACACTATCAGATCACAGGAGTCTACTTTTTTTTTCAGTTAGATAAACTGACCAAATGTCTGTTCAAGAATATATGTAAATGTCATCCTAATGTGGAAGGTTCGAAGAACCAGAAAAGTCAGAAGGGCTGTTTACCTCCCTCTGTAGCTATCGCCTGTTGGTCCGCAGAGTTTCTCAAGGAATGAGCAAACATTCTATGATTAGGTAACCCTTTCACATGAAGGGGAAGATGGGAAAGGTTTGATGACCATAAGAGTTGGCTTGAGACCAGTTCAATTGTGTCTTCTGGGGATCTGATAAGAAAGGCAGTTCCCATGGAAAATTGCTTAAATTTCTTTGTTGTCCATGATTTGATTCTAAACAAGTGGTGCTATCTTCTCCCTCAATATGGCTGTCTTGAGTTTGTCTTGCAGTATCACACTATTATACCAGTTCTTTGGGTTGCTTCTGACACATTCAAAGTGAACTCTGGCTGATGTTGCTGTTTCAGGTACACCACCTGGAGTTACTTTCCTAGTAGAAGGTGAAAGTCCGGGGGACTTATCCTCCTTCACTGAACATGATTGAAACTCTAACTGGCAGTGAACTTAAAGAAGATGCCCAAGTGATACATTAAAGTGAGGGAAATAAAGTCAAGATTTTTAAACTGCCATTCGTGTTCTCATTGGCAGAATTCTGATTGTTTTTCCAAGCACTGTTTGGTGAGCCCGGAACCAGCGTATCCTGTCCCAGGAATACAGTGAAATCTCCAAGCAAGAGCTGAGGTGCCAATACTGAAAGACCATGGGGAGTCTGCACAGTTCTGGTTAGATCAATAAGAAAGTCCACATGTGTACAACTGTTAATTCCTCATCCTCCACTAGCACTAAATTTGTCACTTTAAATTTTGAAACCAGGGAAACGCCACCTGTCATTGTCCCCATTCTCCATGGCTCTTCAATCTTTACATGCCACAAGACTTTTTTGATAGCTTGTACTCATCCCAGTGTCTCCTGAAACCCCATTATGTAATGTACCGGGCACCTTCTTTTAAACAAATGTTTACTCTGTGGGTTTGGTTCATTTCAATTTCTGCGTTCTGACACATATTTTTTTAATAAAGACGAGAAAGAGAAAATGACTGTTGCAGTACATTTCTAGACCTACTTTAACTTTACCTCAGATGACAGTTTGTTAACATATATGGACACATTATTTTTAACTTTATGTACAATGCATTCAACAGAACAGCAAAATTTTTAGAAATTTTCCATTAATTTCTGTAACACACCATGTAAAACTGTTACAAATAAACATGTTTGAGAACAACACCTTAGCCTGGCTTTATTCTGCAAGTTTCCACTGGATATTCAGGCTTGGACTGGAAGAGGAAATTGCTCTACCTAAGATTCCATCTGGCCAAGTGACAGCCTCTGTTTTCCTGGCCGTGGGCTAAAAAGAGCAAGCTTCATTGAGGAGTAAGGTCAGTTTGTCAGCCCTCAGTTGAATTAAAGTGCTTGCTATGGTTGGAAAAGCAGCCACAGACAGGAAGGAGGTTATTGTCAGAAGAAAAGCAAACCCCGTGTAGATGTATTTGGACCACATTTACCATGGGACTTTCAAAACTGCAAAAGACTCCGGGACTAGCCCTGTGGATTATGTCTTCCCCTAAAACAAAACAAAAAAGCCTATCAAACTATTGATTAGAAAACCGAAATTAATCTAGACTGTCAAAAAGTTCCCCATCGTTCATTTTAAGGTCATCTGCTTTAATGGACTTAAGAAGGAATCATTTATCTTTCTTTATACTCCCCTCAAACTCCACACCAAAATTAAAAGGTCTGAAGCTGGATTGTATATATGAAGAACACAAAAAAATGAATATATGTGGGTGCTGTGTACCTATGTTTGTATGTGTGTGTGTATATGATTTTTATTTCCTTTTGTAACTAAATCAAATAGCCAGATTACAGTTAGGCCATTGAGATGAAAAGATCACCACTGTTTAAGAATGGTTTTGTTAATGATTGCATAAACACAAGCCCTCAATCTGGCCTTGTTTTAAAGAAGGTATTAAACAGATGTTATTGCTAACTTTGAGACAATGGGCTTAGATTCTAGCAAAGTAAATTTGGAGCAGATAGAAGAAACAACTTTCATACAGTAAGAAATGCTAAAATCCTGAACTGAATTGTTAGAAAACATTGCACACGTTTTTGTTTTCATTTTGTTTTGTTTCATTTTGGTTGAGACAGGATCTCACTCTCTTGCCCAGGCTAGAATGCAGTGGTGTGATCTTGGTTCATTGCAACCTCTGCCTCCTAGGCTCAAGCAATCCTCTCACCTCAGCCCTCCAAGTAGCTGGAACTACAGGCATGCACCACCACACCCGGCTAATTTTTGTATTTTTTGTAGAGATGGGGTTTCACCATATTGCCCAGACTGGTCTTGAATTCCTGAGGTCAACTGATCCACACGTCTCTGCCTCCCAAAGTGTTAGAATTACAGGCCAGAGCCACCACAGCAGGCCAGAAGTATTTATTAATAAAAACAGTGACTTGCACGTGTTGAACAACTCGTATGTGCCAGGCAGGTGCTGGCTGCTCTCTGTCCATTGCCTCCGCTAATTTTCTAAACAACTGGCAAGGGTAGATATCATCCCAATTTATAGATAAAGACATTGAAATTCAGATAGATTAAGTAACTTCCCCAGCCAGCAAATGACAGAGTTGAGATTTGAATATTGGCCTCTTTAATCGTAGTTGAATTTAGTTTTAAAATAATTGGATATTCACTGTTTGAAATAGTTCTATGTAAGTTTTTTAACCTAATAGTTCTACATTGACTTTCTATGTCTCTTCTCAGATTGCTAGCGAATCTTTGGTAATGTTAGATTTTTAAGTTCCATTCAAAGTAAAAGTAAAAATCCATTAGATGTTACTTTCTTACACTGCTAAATACATAGTTCCATCTTTAACTGGCACCTTTCGAAGCTTGTGTGTCTGAGTGACAACGAATAAACTTTTTTATCGAACTCATTGAAGTTTAGCTGAAACCAAGCCCTGGGGATTTACTTTGCCAACCTAAATGAATCTTAAAGAAGTGACAAATTAAAAGGTGTCCTATTTAACTGCTAGGTGGATGCCAAAATAAATCAGGCAGACATATCAGCTTTCATTTTGTGCTTGAGAGTAAGCCCTTGTTGTTTTGACAGTAAATGTTTTTTGTTTTACTCAGAATGACAGTCGGAAAAATGCCTAGAATAAAAACAGGTTTCACTGAAATCAACCTTCAAAGCTTTGAAAGCTTTTAAAAGATGTTTAAATTCAAGGGAAATGTGAGCAACGGTGCCTGGAAGATTAAAAAGAGAGAGAGAGAGAGTAAACAGATGTAAATGGGCTTCCCAGCCATTAGTGACCAGTCTTGGTATGTATGTGAAAATGGGAAGAATCCCTGCCACCGCTGTGCTCCTGCTTTGTCTGTGCCACTCATTTCCTAGCTATCATTTCCAAATCTCTACACGAACCCCAAGAGGCAAAGAATATGCTTTCCATTTCACAGGTTAGGAAACTGAAACTCAGATATGTTCCACAACAGCTATCAATTAACAGAGCCAAAGATGTCACCCAGAGGCTGTCATAGTTCCCGGGGTCGGATTCCTGGCCTCTGTCTTCTAGTCCATGGTGCTTCTTTCTGACAGGTTTTCTGCAACGTCAAATTGCTCATATACCCTCTAAAAATACTTTGAGTCCGTCTGTATTCATTTCCCTGTTGTGTCTATTATATTAAAAAAAAAAATCGCACCATGCCTTACCCTGACTGATTCAGTACGGAAAATGATTCTTATGTAAAATGACTGTAGTTCTTTTAAAACAAAGGAAATATCCAGTTTTATTCTCAAGAATAGTAATAGCTCTAACTCAGTCCAATGAATATTTAATTTCAAAACAAAACCCTTGCATTCGCTTTACCTTCCAAGGTACGGAGATCTGAAGAGGGAGCCTTTTTTGAACAGGCTTTCTTTTCACTCTTTGCTGAAGAATATTAATGAGTGCCACGTGGACAATATCTAAATATTCTTGCAAGATGGCAGCTCTGGTGACTTGGGTCTTTAATCTTCCGAACAACCTCTTACCACTTCTGTCACTCACTCTGGGGGTCACAGCCTGGAGCCGGGAACAAGCAGGAATGGTTGGAGATGGAATAAGCAGGTCTTAGAGCTGGCGTACTGTCAACAGTAAAATGCCAGATGTCCTTCTTTATACTGTACTTTTAGCAACTCCACCATGCCTCACCTTTGGGGGAAATGGTGGGGGAGGTGAACCCTGAAGTCTTCCTCATTTCAGATTACAGGTCAGAGTTACTCATGTGTAGCTCAGGTCCGTGAGCTCAGAAACTTAGCAGCGTAGTTACTAAAGGAAAGCTGTTTCCTCTTACCTGTCTTGTGCCCTTTCAGACCTTCATAGAAGGAACAAGAAAGGTGGTCAGCCATCACACAGCCCATGTTTATCCTATGAAGATAAAGCAACATAGCACAGGCTAAAAGTAAAGGAACCCTAATTCAGTGATTAGCCCCACTTTCATCAGAAGAAAAGACAAATGATGCGAAGTCAAGGAGGCAGACAGTTGTTTTCTTCCTAGTGGGTGCTAAACTTAAGCAAAACCTGAGAAGAAAGGTATGAACCAAATCTTCACCCTCGGCTTATCACTTGTTTCTTTTCTCATTTAAGTGGAGCACCCTAGCTCCACTGGAGAGTCCATATAGAGTAGTTTCCAGATAGTGGACTCTGAATTCGGAAAGTCTTTGACTTGCCAGCTGTTTCACCTCAGACAAGTCACTTAAGCTCTCTAAAAATTCATTTAATCACATGTAAAATTGCAGGCTATTATAAGAAATAAATTTGATAATTTCATGCCTGGGACATAGTCAACACACAATGCACATTACCTACTGTTAATGTCAAAGGAAGTCTAATCACTATTATAGATTTTTTTTTTTTTTTTTTTGAGATGGAGTTTTGCTGTTGTTACCCAGACTGGAGTGCAATGGCACTATCTCGGCTCACTGCAGCCTCCGCCTTCTGGGTTCAAGCAATTCTCCTGCCTCAGCCTCCCAAGTAGTTGGGACTACAGGTGTGCACCACCATGCCCAGCTAATTTTTGTATTTTTAGTAGAGACGAGATTTCACCTTGTTGACCAGGATGGTCTCGATCTCTTGACCTCGTGATCCACCCGCCTCAGCCTCCCAAAGTGCTGGGATTATAGGCGTAGGCTATTATAGATTTTTTATATTTTTCACCTTCACCTAATCTTTGCCCATCTATTATCCTAGCTCAGTAACTCTATCAGGTGTGAAGAAGGGCAGTAAGTGATACTTTCTTTATTTTATTATCAAAGAAAGGCAAAAAAGTATACAAAAACAGCATCCAAATTTTCCTCCCTGGCAAAGTTTAAAGCAAAAATACATTATGGACTTAATTCATTTAACAAAGAGTTATTAACAACATGCTATGTGCTAGATCTTCTGATGAGCATTAGAGATTGAGGATTTTTAAAAATGCATACATGATGGTCCCTGCTTCAAGAAGATCATATTCTAAAGGGGGAAATAGGTTAATAGAGGAGTAAACTATAGTACAATTAATGCTGGAATAAAGGACGTGCTAATACCGTGAGAGTGGTGGGAGAGTGCTATACAGAAGCGTTGATGGGTCAACTGGGTGTTAAGCAAGTAGGAGTTTACCATGAGGCGATGGTAGTGGAGGGAAGAGCATTAGCAGAACTAACAGGGCCAATGCACGTGATATGCCTGAAGTGGCTGGAAAAAAAAGGCAGAAAATGATGCTCATTTAACTGTTGAATAACAGGAAAAAACAATTTCTCGATTCATATCCAAATCTGGAATAACAAAACATCAAAAAAGTAATGTAAATTATATCCTAATCTTTTCAATGGATAATCAGAAGTTTCTAAATTTTAAACACAGCTGTAAACCTGTGTTTACAAATAAAGTTGACTTTTGAAATGTAATTAATAGTTAAAGAGAGACTGTCTCATCTTAATGGATGCCAAAAGGCATCGATAAAATTCATTATCCTCTTCAATAAAAAAACTGGAAACTAGCATTATAGTAATATTTCCTTCACATGATAAAGAACATCTACCTCAAACTAACAGCCAATATGGAACTTAGCAGTGAAACTTCAGGGTAGCCCATTAAAATGAGATTGAGGTCAAGGCAGCAGCTATGACCTCTGTCATTTAACATTGCTCTGAAATTTGAGGCAAGGCAATGCACTAACACAAGAAAAAGAGATCAAGTATTTAAAA